GCATTGCTGAATACGAGTTATCCATAAAAGAATGAATTTTCAGGATCTTGAGTCGTTAGAAGTGGATTGGAACGACGGACAAAGGTTTGTTCAAGAATATGTGTATACCTGTACGTCAAGAATGATGAAATATTTTGAATTTTTCGAGACCATTACGCTCTAACGAATTCACGATCAAACTTGCGGAAGGAGGAAGTTTATCTGTAGATTTTCTAAAATATTTCGTGGTTATTCAAACAAAATCTTACATTTCCCACCAATCAACATTGTTTAAATCCAATTCTGAAAAACAGCAACGAAAAAGCGACAATCTCTCTCCAAAATCGTGTTTTTGGACGTCGAAACAAATTTGGCCCTATACAGTCGAACCTCGATTATTCGACCTCGATTATCCGGAGTTCTCGACTTTTTTTTCGGTCTCACATGAGGAGCTCTGGCCCCGAAAAAAATTCGCAGCATGCATTCTACGGAGGCGTTATATTTCTGTCATCAGTATAGAGAATTACATCAACGTTTGCGGTCGGTAGGTGTCTGTGCGGTTATTTAAACCTGTTGATTATAAGTTAAATGTTCACCTATGCTCGAATTTCAATTTACGAAAACACAAGAAATCTGGCATTAAAATCACTTGGCGCGATCTTATCATGGAGGCTGAAGTCTTCGATCGATCAACTGAGCTTTCTATAGTTACGGGATCCAATCTCGACCCCAATAAGTCCTGGTATGTGCTAACGAAAAGTTAATGTGAAATCAGGCCGAAAGCTTTTGCAAAGAACGAATTGTTTCGTCGATTCCACGATGACTACAATACGTTCTGTCCCGCCAGCAGGTCTCAAGCGCGCCAACAAAGGCTAGCTGTTCGTTCAACGCCAGGTAACCAAATAACATGCATGTTATATCTTCAATTGGTCTCCGTGCCAGATTAATTAGACAGGGAGAAATCCAGCAGATGGATTCGCAAGGTCTCAAAATATAATCTTGTTGTTTATGCGGTAAATCAAATCGCCCTCGACCGTACACTTTAGGCGGGAAATGCCTCCAGTCGAAATATCATGGGAAATTGCAATGATGTCAGTCAAGAATAGCCGAGCTTGACAAAGACATTCGGGAACTAGTAAATGATAATAATTATATAAGTGGATGCCTCAACTTTCAGTCAAAAGAAAGAGTCCAGACAAAGAGCGGTCTCCTGATATAAATTAGTGTGAATCATTCATTAAAAATTAATCCTCAGGTATACACTATCCAAGAGGGTATGCAAGAGATTAAAATAACTCTCAGGTATACACTACCCAAGAGGGCACGAATCTCTTGCATACCCTCTTGGATAGTGTATACCTGAGGATTAATTTTTAATATCTTCTAAGTCTTCTTTACGACATGTATTGTCTCTACAGAGAAAATAAGCTTAGCGTACCGCCCCTTAAGTTTTTTCGAATTAGACCCGTTAAGTTTGTATGAGACATTTCTCTGGACTCTTATTTCTGGAAAACGAGTGAACAAAAATTGCAAAGTTGGATTTTTTAATGTTAAGAGTTAGTTTGTTGGCTGTAAACCAGTTATAAAGGTTTTGTAGCTCATTTTTGACTATTGTCTAAAGATCTTTCAGATTTTGTCCGCATACAAAATGTTAGTGCCGTCTGCAAAGAGGTAAAACCTAAATTTATTCAAGCATCTGTGGATATCACTGACATATAGCAAGAAAAGCGATGGTCCAAGAATTGATCCTTGAGGAACACCACCTCTAACGACAGCTTTATCTGATATATGATGGCCTACTTGCGTTTTTTGCGTGCGATTTTTGAGATATGAGAACCAATCATTAATTAATCCACGAAAGCCATAGTGATTGAGCTTATCAAGCAAAATGTCGTGATCGACGGTGTCGAAGGCTTTTTTAAGATTAAGGAATACTCCACAAGATAACAACCATTGATTCATGTTTGTTTCTATATCATTAACAATGTCCAATATTGCGTGTTGGGTTGAATGCCCCTTACGAAAGCCGTATTGTGAGGAATACAAAAGTTCGTGTTTCTTTAAATAGCTCGTCAATCTGTTGTAAATTATTTTTTTGAATACTCTATTAAAATTTAAAAGTAAAGAGATAGGTCTGTAGTTGTTTGCATCTGTATCATCGGCGTAATTTTAGCAATTTTGAGCTTTGATGGATAAGTCCCTAATCTGATAGATGTATTTAGTATCCCTGAAAGAACAGGGGCTGTGACGTCACTCGAACATTTGAGTATTTTGGTAGGTGAGGAGTATAAACCATAAGACTTATCATTCGGTACAAGTAATATTTCTGACTATTCTTCGGGTAAAACAGGTTGAAATAGGAAGGATGAAATTGGAGATTTACACTTATCAACATAGTCTAGATGATGTTTTTGGGGAATGGGTAGGTTATTAGCAAGTCTGTTTCCGACTGTCGCAGAGTGTTCATTAATAATGTTAGGTATCCGCGAACCTTCCTTAACAATTTTGTTACGATTATTAATAATCCTTTAGTGCAGATGTGACTTTGAGTTTTGTTTCCGCGGATGTAAAAGTTCGTTGCTTCCTTGTTGACCATACTGTTTTCGAAAAACGTATCATAATATCTCCTTTTGCTTACGCGTATCAGTGTACAAATTTTATTTCTATAGTGTTTGCACTTCATTTTGTCTCCAGTTGCATATAATTTATTTCTAACCTTAATGGCCGCTTTATTTCCATTAGTTATCCAAGGGTTAGGTAGCTGTTCTGCTTTGCGATGATATATTTTTTTCACGGGGGTGTGTTTGTTAACAATTGTATTATACTTGTTGTAAAACGACGAAAACAATTTGTTCACACAATTTGTTCCATTTGCAATTATTCGATTCCAGTCAACTTCAGACAGCTCATCGTTAAAGTGATGTAAGTTACGCTGTAATCTTGCAGATAACGTGATGAATGGAAAGTTAAACATAGTCAAGCAGATTCTTAAGTGCCTCAAGAAAGGAATTTTAAAGTCTACTCTGGATCACATACACAAATCTACACACCCTGCTTTTAAGGGTCGTTTTCGTGAAAAATATCTGGGGTCTGTGAGGACCTTGAGTTGAGCTCTTAAAGAGAAGGGACATGTGGCACTGAAGAGGGTGGGGGGGGGGAGGCACAGAGTTTTTAGGAGGAAACGGAGCGGAGAGGGAATCACTTATCGCCAGCAGAATATAAAAGACTGCTAATAAACTGCTAGTAGGGGGGAGGAATGGAAAGGATAAGAATATTACAGAGCCTTATGGAGGGGGGGGAAGGGGGAATCAGATAAATGTTATCGAGACAAAATCAAACTCCCTCAGCTTCCCCTCCCCTCTCTCAGGCCTCAGGGGAATAATACTGACCTATCGGAAAGCAGCCCAGCACCTAAACAGAATAGATCCTTAAAAGTTAAAATAATTCTTTTTCTTCATTGAATATTTGTCTTGCAGAATTTTATTGCCAGAAGAAGTTTATGTCCAAGTCATAACGAGATTCCGAGAATTAGACCGGTTGGGGGAAGAATTGGTTAACACCTTTAAGCAGTGGATACCGAAGAGGAAACGCACTATGGAAAAACTGGAGGAACTTGCATCCAAATTACACCAGCAACATATAAATGTTAGTAAATCGACCATAGCAGGTGCTTCCGCGAGTACCGTAGGAGGAATCCTAGCGATAGCGGGCCTGATCGCCACGCCCTTCACTTTTGGGGCCGGGCTTGTGGTCTCCCTCATTGGCGCCGGAATTGGAGGCACAGGAAGCCTGGTGATGTCTGTTTCCAAAGTAATCGAGATAATCCTCGCAAAGCTAGGATTGAAAGACGTTCAGGGAGCCATTGACGAGGACAAGGAAGCTTGCACGCAGCTTCAAGAAAAATTGGAAAACCTTGAGAGGTTCATCTCCGACTTAAGAGAAATAGAAAGCAATGGTTTTGAATTTTTCCACAATCTAGCCGGAAGGGAGTACACAACTTCAACTGAGGAGAAAATAGATTTCTTCGCCAGGTTTTTGCGGGTGTTCTCGTCCACGGCTTCAGTAGGGGCTGGAGCATTCGCTGCTGCTGGTGCCTTCGCTCGAGCTGGGGGTTTAGCGGGGGCCAATTTAGCTGGAGGAGTTGCTGGCGCCGTGCTGTTACCTCTGGATATCTACATGTTGGTGAAATCGTCTTTAGAGGTGCATAGAGGATCGACTACGCAGGTTGTGAATGACCTCAGGAAGTTACTAAGCGAATTGAAATGCCCAGAGGAAGATGAGATTCAGGAGATGGTGCGGAAATTCATCTGCGAGAAGTTAAGTGAGGCCTTTAATGATGGGGTCTCAAACGAAGTACAAAGAGACAACGGTGATGACTTAAGAGAAGCCGAAACTGTAGCGATATAGTAATCAAAGAGGAACGTCAGTAGCGATAGCAATAGAACGAAACCTACGTGAATCGGATCAGTGTAATAAGCCGAATCCTCAAGAGTCTTTGCTAAAGATGTTTTTTTCGTAGTTAGGAAAACCGTGCACTTCTGTAAGTCGTGTCCAGTTCAGCGATTCAATGTGTTTCAAGGTAAAGCTGCCGAATGTTGAGTAACAGCATTGAATTACTCACCATTCTTAGCCAGATGAACTGACCTTCTTTCTACACATATTTTGATCCTAATTTCCTTTTAGCAATCCGCCATAACAGAGATTATAGCAAACTCAGCAAAACATCTTGCTCCTGATTATTTAACTTCCAAAGTATAAGTAGGCTGTGGGATTTCTGTTCTGCACTTACCCCTCCCTTAACCTAACAACAGTCAACTGATAAAAAGCTGGGGCTGATGATGGGTTGGGAGGGGAGGGGTAGGTGCACAGTTCAGATACCGTTATTACACGCGATAAAAGTGGCTCAAAATAGCTGATTTGTTGAAGTAGCGACCGCTGTACACGGTTCCCACCGTAGAAGACTTCACAGTGAGGCTCGTTATCACCGTGCAATGTACTCGAACCCGTGGAGACCTGTGCTAATCCCATGTCGAACACTAGCAAGGTCCCTTGTCAGTTTATATTGTAAGGGAGAGATATGCTCCGGAAAACCTTGAAATTTTTTACATCTCTTGTTAAAAAGTATGTAAAAACAGTAACTATATCTGAAAGTTGAACAAATCAATAAGACATACTTTTCTGTGACTCTGAGTTTCACGCTTATGTGATCATCAGACAGATGAATCTGTCTGATGATCGCGTAAGTGTGAAACTCAGAGTCACAGAAAAGTTGCGTCTTATTGATTTGTCCAGCTTTCAGATATACCACGCTCAGCGAACGTATCGAGCACTATACCGCAAGGATAGACTATAATCAAGATTTATTTATTTAAAAACAATAATTATCTACCGAGACTTGAGACTCCATGGAGTAACTGAACCTTTCGAAGATTATCTTCTTTGCCACAAATTCGAATGCGTACGCCGCCACTTTGAAAAACAATTATGTAACCTAGCTGGAAACTCACGACATCCCAGAAGTCAAATCAAATGGCAGATCAAAACGCGCGCTCAACAAATGGTTTTTGCTTAATTTGCTGCTTGGCCACTTGCGCCCAGATTCGAATCATTAAGTTTTGAGTGCAGCCGTAATGTGAGTCTTTTATCCTCTTGGTAAGCGGCCAAGTTACCAAACAACAATCAAGTTTCAGGTGCATTCGAAGAAAGGTTACCCTCCTGTCTAGAATGTCACAACGTGGTCGTGTCTTAATTCAAAATATGCTCTTTCATGGCTAGAAAAAAACTTACATGATTTCTAGAGCATACGTTTAATTTTCCTCTAAAAGTCTTAAAAGGCACTGGGAATATTTTAATCATACTGAGAGTTCAGGTGGACTCTTTAGAGTTTAATCATATGCACTGTGTGTTCTAGTGATCTTTTCACCTTTGATACAATTGAACCCGTCGAACAAACGAGTATCGATAATATACAAATTCATCAAATGTAAGATGCTTTCTTGATTAACAAATAAATTCTCCCTTCAACATAATCACTTTTTCCAACAAATGACTGTCAAGAATATACAAGTTCATCAACTGAAGGATGGATTTTTTGATTAATAAATAAGTCCCCCCCTTCAACATCATCACTTTTTCTAACAAATGACTATTGAGAGTATACAAATTCATCAAGTGAAGGATGTTTTTTGATTTACAAATAAGTTCTCCCTTTGACATCATCACATTTTCCAACACACAAGTATCGAGAATATCCAAATTCATCAACTGAACGATGCTATCTTGATTTAAGACTCCATTCCCAAAATTAAATTCCAGATAATAATTAAGATGTATCAATTTTACACCAATTTGCGATAATTCACCAATATTGCAAATATATGAAATATAATTTGAAATTATTCTACATTTTTCAATAACTTTTAGTTATACAAAATATAACCTTTACAAAAATATTGATATATAAATGAATTTACTGGAAAGTGTAGTTGTTGCAACATGTTAACATGAAACCCAAAATAAATTTTAAAGATATGTAAAAAGTTTTCATTTGACTACCTACTGTCAAATCTTATATTTAAACCCAACCATTTTCCACAACTTGTAAACACTGTTACAATATAATTAGTAAGTGAAATGGAAATTTTGTGGCATATGCACCATGTTTGAAATGCCATGTCCATAATAAGCTAACAGGATTGAGGATTGTGTATGTAGGAATAGGCCCTCTTCTCTGTATCCTTAATTTGGTAATCCCTCCTGTTGCCAATGTTTAAAAGAGGTTGGGCTGTCAGGGCAAAGGAACAGAGGATTTTATTAGGCAGTGACTTTTTCAAACCTGGAAACTATCACTGTGAAAAGTCATTCTTGTGCCTGGTAACTCATTCTTATTCTGATAAACTAGTTTTAAGAAGGTACAATATTTTATTACTTAAATTTGCTGCATAGGCTGGGCAAAACTTTAATTTGCCTATACTTTTATAGTCAATATCAATCCCACATAAAAATTGATAGCAGGATCAGAGGAAAAAATAATGTAACATACATCTGCAAGATTTCATGTAATTATTTTAATCATATGAATGTTAACTGATACTAAGAGATCTAACAATATTAATAATAATAATATAATATTAAAAATTTATAGTGCGCAAATTCCATAAAATGTTCAAATGCGCATTACAAGATTAAAAATTATCATTAAAATAGACTTACAATAATTTTAAGAAACGAGATAAAAAAAAGCTATAAAAATGCACTACGAAAAAGGTGAGTCTTCAGTTTAGCTTTAAAAATATTTACTGTTCTTGCGCTCCTAATATCCAGCGGTAGTTCGTTCCATAGTTTCGGAGCAGCACAGGTAAAAGAACGGTCCCCCAGTGTAGCTTTCGATTTAAATGATGGATGGCTAAGTAAAAGCTTATCACTGGAATTTCTTAAATTATATTTGGAGGGGGGTCTAAGGGAAATAAGAGAGGATAGATAAGAAGGGGCTAAAAAATTAAGAATCTTAAAAGTAATTAACAATATTTTAAACTCAATTCTATATCTAATTGGTAACCAGTGTAACTTAAAAATTAAGGGCCTAATATGACAAAATCTCTGTTCTTTAAGAATCAATCTGGCACAAGCATTCTGTACTCGTTGCAGCTTATTCAACAAGCAGTCCGGTAGTCCATATAATAGGCCATTGCAATAGTCCAGGCGGCTCGTTATAAATGCATGGACAAGAGTTTCCGTTGACTGCTGTGAAAGGTACTTTCTGATCCGACGAATATTATAAATGTAGTAAAATGAAGAGGCACAAATTTTCGTGATGTGTGTTGCCATGGAGAGCCTTGAATCAAACCAGGAACCAAGATTTCTCGCAATTGGCACGGGATGTATGTCTGAGTCGCCCACACGTATACTGATATTGTCGAGCTTTCCCAGCTGTTGTGATGTGCCAATGATAAGGAATTCAGTCTTGTCGTCATTTAATTTAAGATCATTATTCAACATCCAAAGACGAATGTCTCTGATGCAGTCCTCCATACTCCTCACTACAGCAAGTTGCTCAGCTCTGTCGTTGGGACTGAATGAGATGTAAACTTGAGAGTCGTCAGCGTAACAATGAATCGTGGGCAAATGATATTCAATGATCTCAAAAAGCTTGCTCGTATACAACGAAAACAATAACGGACCCAGACAGGAACCTTGAGGCACACCGCATTCTAATTTAAAAGGTTCCGACAGCGAATCGTTAATCATTATCCGTTGAGTTCTACCAGACAAATAGGACGTAAACCAGGAGAGGGCTTTCCCATGTATACCAAATGATGACTCAAGTCGACGTAGCATGGTGTCGTGATCAACTGTGTCGAAGGCAGCACTTAAATCGAGCAGAATAAGCAGAGTAACACGTTGACTGTTCATGTTAAGGAGAATATCATTCATAACCTTAAGGAGTGCAGTTTCTGTGCTGTGGTTCTGTCGATAGGCGGATTTAACGTGCACATGGTCAGCTGAGTGTTCGATGTACTCAAATGGAGATCAGATACGCGGTTTACCTGCACAACGTTGGAGCGGTGGCTATGATGATGGCTTCGATGTTTAACTGCTCGACGATTTGTTGTAAAAGACGTAATTAGTGGACCAGGGTTCGGGCTGATGTCGCCACTCGTTAAGCGAAGACGCGTTAGGTTAAAGGAGGAAACGGAGTTCGGAGTATGAGATATCCGAGCAGTGAAGTAGCGATGCGATCTTGTTGAAGATGAAAATCCAAGATGGCGGAACAAACGCATCGACGACGAGCAACTTGCACGGTATAAATCCACTTCATTAGTGGTCTTTGTAACTCCAGAATCATCAAGGGCATAAGATGGACAGAAAATGAGCGTATTTAGATAAATTAAAGAGCGACTTAAACAACAGAACAGATATAGATAAGTGACTATGGCGGAGCCGAGAAAATTACGACTGACCGCCATTTCGCCGCTGACCACCATTCAAAAGAGTATAAAATTTGGTTGAATTCAGCATAAGCTGGACAAACAAGATTCTTAGAAAAAGAAATGTGTACTAATGATAAAGCTACACAAACTTTTTTACAACATCTACCTGTACCTGTATGGCACATAGTAAAGTCATCCAGAGTAGTCATAACCCTGGTTTTTATGTTAAAAAAAAAAACACACGAGCATGCAGATTTCCTATAAAACTGTTGTTCAGGCCTGCCAGATAACTTCATAATTTTGATACAGACCTCAAAGGGAGAAAAGATAAATTTCAAGTTTCTCTTAATTCAGTTTAGGTTAGTGAGGTAGAATTGAGTTCATTCATACACCGATAGGCCTACCTGGAACAATAACCTTCATGTGCAGATAAGGCCTGGTTTGTACTGATAATGGGAAAAATAACTGTTTTACAAGGTCTGCTTTTAAATT